CTTCTGCCCTGATCCCGGGTTCCCTGTCTTTGTGACTCCACCTTGTAGACGTACATAGCCTGTATCACCGTCTCCAACTCCTCCTCAATAGCTTTCACTTCTGTGCCCACCTGCACCTCTTCACTTGACAGCTGTACTGTTGATGGGCCAGGTGATTCATGGATCACCACTTATTCTGATTCCACAGGAGGAGCCATCACCTCTTCACTCCACAAGCGACAACGCCCTCCTCCTTGCCTCCGTTCTTCCTCAGGCATCGGTTTCTCATGGACAGGTGCTCCGCCCCTTGCCGGCCCAGGAGCCATATTCCTCTTGCCACAGTCTGCCGCCATATGGTCATATTCGCCACACAGTCGGCATGTACGCCTCTGCCCAGTATACGCTACCATTACCTGGGTTCTAAACTCCTCGAGATATACATACGAGGGTATAGGATGCCTTAGCATCATCATGAGATTGAAAGAACCCTCAGGATATCCTGTGTAAGCTCCTTTTACCCATTTACCAGGTTGGGCCAGAGGTACAGTTCCATAACTTTCGAAAACATTGCGTATATCCACTTCATCAGCCTCAAAAGGCACGTTTCGGAGCTTAACCCACGAAGAATGTCGTGATACATCCATCAACTTGACCCTCACTGCCTGCGTTACGTTAATGCTGACGTCTTGATAATGATCCACCAACGCCTCGTATACTTGAGCAGTTAGCACCTTCACGAATATTCTATACACACCGTTCAGTGCCACTCCATACAAATCCTCGTCTCTGATGCCGTATGTCTCTCTCACAATTTTGGGCAATAACACATCAACTGACGTAGGCGTTAAAGCCCCACTAATGAGCTCAATGCCCACAGTATTCACTCTTCTGCACACACCTGGCGCCATGTTGTTGACTGAGTAGCTCATCTGGGAAAACAGTAGAGGGGTGCAAAGCACGACCGCACTCTACCTCATCCAGGCAGCGAATGAAACCCCTCCTTTAGAGTGCAGGCATTGTACTTCCCATTTCCAGGACTCAAGTCCGGCTATATAAAAATAACCGGTTTCCCTGAATCCCTTCACTAAATATTACCCTGCTCACACTCCAACAGATCGTCAGGTCTCAAATACCATTCGTCTCCATTCATTCCTATCGAACACGCTCATGCACCCCTGCCGGAAGTCTAATATACCTAAATGATTACATAACTGTACTCACCTGTTTTTCAGTAGCTGCTGAAAAAGTAAAAGACTCGGGCCGGGAGAGTATACCGGCGAATCAAAAAGAAGTACGGGCGAATCAAGAGCAAGAACAATCATTTTTAAATTTTAACAATAATTACAATGCTTTTATTGCTTTGCGTGAAACTTTTATGAAGTCACTACTTGATGTCACCAAAGCAATTACTGCCACTCTAATTTATGCATTCTCCTCTAATTAGACACCAAAAATTCAACCTGTAAAGAGTCTTCAAAGCCACCAGCTGGTAATTTTTTTACGTAAATTTTAGCATGTCACCAAGCCACTACAGCAGGATTAATCTACTCAGTATTCAAATCTTTATACACTAAATTCGACCTCTAATAATCCATTGGGCCTGGTCCGTGACCGGGTCGCGGGCCTGATCAGCCAGGCTGTTACTGCCGACCGCATGTAAACCGACATACGAGCCGCAGCCCGGCTGGTCCGGTACTGACCAGCGCCTTCTTGAAGACAGCCAGGGATCTGTTGGTAATGTCACCTTATGTATGCTGCGAGGCATACATGAGGTGGGCCCCTGCTTTTCATTGGGATAATTTTGCATCTCCTGCTAAGTCTTTTGCTTTCGTAGGGAATGAGTTTAGTGCGCAGATTTTGGACCAGTCCCTCTAAGATTTTCCAAGTGTATATTGTCATGTATCTTTCTCGCCTACATTCCAGGGAGTACAAATCAAGTGACTTTAACCATTCCCAGTAATTTAGGTGCTTTATCGTACTTATCTGTGCAGTGAAAGTTTTCTGCATATTTTCCAGGTCTGCAATTTAGCCTGGTTTGAAAGGGGCAGTTAGTGTACACCAATATTCCAGGGTAGAGAGAACAAGTGATTTGAAGAGAATCATCATGGGCTTGGCTTCCTTAGTTTTGAAGGTTCTCATTATCCATCCTATCATTTTCCTAGCAGATGTGGTCGATACATTGTTGTGATCTTTGAAACTGAGTTTCTCTGACATTATCCCTCCCAGTACCACCAATACCACCAGTCCAATGGCATTCTTCTTTGCAAATATACAGGGTCTAAAGCCAGCAACGAACAACAAAATACCTTTCATCTGTGGACTGCTTGCAGAGGCAAAAGCAATGTTCGCGGCCTTCAGAGGGATCTACATAAAGGACCACTTGGACAACGAAATATGAATCCCAGGTTACAACCTATACAGATGTGACAGAGTGAACAAGCAAAAGGAAGGGGGGCATGGCCTGTATATCGTAGAGTCACTTGTTTGCATAGAACTGCTTAATGCCTCAAATGATGCAGTGGAAGTTTTAGCAGTAAAGATCAAGAACCAAAACCTAGTCATTGTGGTAGCCTACAAGCCTCCGGATGCAACGTCCCAGCAATTCCAGGAACAGCTGTCAAAA